GGACCCTTTCCGTGCCCGCTGATTTCCGCATTGATGCGACTCTCATCGCTGCTCCCCTCTTTAACGCTAACGCTCTCTGCCAAACGGCTAGAGTCAGATAGGTTGGGTTTGCCTTTGCGCCAGCCCTGCCCGGCCATTGAGGCAGTATTCGTTTCAAAACCGAAATCGGATCATTCAACACCCTTGGGAGGTCCGCCTCCCCCTTTCTACTAGGTAAGTCTTCCCTTCTTCGACCGATTTCTTGACAATTCTATCGTGGAGTACTTGTTTACCTCAATTTCGAGTGCAGCGAATCGCTACAGGCTACGTAAGCGTTTTTAGAGTTTTGTTAAATGAATGCAGAGCTGACCTGACTCTTCCCTGACTGTCCAAACAATTCCATATAGAAATCATAGTCCTTTATCGGTGGAATGTCCACAATTGTGTAAAAAGTGGGTTCCAGAACTGAAAAGGATACAGGCTGAACCATCAGTTTCTTTCTTTGTTTCTTTAGAGTCTATCTAAGTGTGAGTATAGTTTTTCAAAGAAGACCTGCACTGCTCACAGCAAAATGAAGCATGATCTTCGCACATGTGCTTCTGGGAGACTACTCATCACACTGGCTCTTTACCGTGCAGATGTTCCAATTTGAGTTTGGTAAAAACACTGACCAATAAGCTCTCTCAGTTTCCTGTAACGCTCATTCATCTCAGTGAAGGCATTGGGATCGATGGTAGAAGCACTGGAGAAATCAATGCGTCGATCGGCAGAGGCGATTCGTGGCAACTGAAGAGTGAAGTAAAACACGAACATTTGAAAAAGCTTGAAAAATGCATTCACTAGTTTCACAAGAATGCTGGGTTGTGAACAAAACTTTCGCCCCAGGCGGGACTAGAACCCGCACCTCTCGCTTTCCGGGCAAGTGCGGGTTCTAGTCCCGCTGGGGCGAAAGTTTTGTTCACAACCCAGCATTCTTGTGAAACATTCGCAAGGCGAACTGCGGCCAAAAACAGCAGTTAACAAACAAAAAGCACTCACTAGTGTAAGGGTGAAGGGGAACCGAATTTCCTGGGCGCTATCAGATAATTAACAATATTTCTTACGATAATACGGACAGTGGTATTTCTTACGAGAATACGGACAATAGTCGTCAGAAGCGACTCTTTGCACGTTTAGAGCTATCTATCCAACGGAGTGTAACGATACCCAACTTCACTGTATTTTAAAAAATGGGGACTTAATGGCACATTACACGACTAAAATATGTAGGTATTGAGACTTGAATTTGGAGTGCTGAGTGTGGCGAAAACCTTCGATGAAGAAATAGCTAAAAGGAACTGTAGAGAGCGTTGCGATTGAAACTTTTTTCAAACCCTGATCTATGGATCGAAAGGCGGTGACAAAGCACCTGTCCATGCGACGATTCTGATGGCGAGCACATTAGAGAGGATAGGGATTAAAGAAAAGCAGGCATTGGTGGGACTGCCAGGGAGACTGGCGCACCTTGTGGCCTGTAATCCTTCTTTCACGGCTCCTCTAAAGCCCTACTTCACTTGCTCTGGCACGTTTTATACGAGCTAAACTCGGAATATTCTCTTGTGTGTCGCGATCGACCAAAGTCAATGTGCATATTGCACATAAATGGAGGAAGAAAAATTCGGATTTGTGAACTCGTAATGAACTTCGTATAACCATCTACTTCCAATTTCAATTTTGGAGCTGCAGATATCAGCTGTGCAACTTGGACTAAATCCCAATGGTTCGGGATCTGTGAGCACGCGCAGTCTATCGTTATATGTTTTTTGGTAGAGAGATGCTCTAGCGGCTAACACTCTATACCTCCTCAAACCATTGAACAGCTGTTCTATTCCCTCTTGGACGTCGTCCATTGACGTTATACCTTTTCACCTGAGCAGAATAAAGAAGGATAAAGGATAAAGCATTTGCCGTTGATCAATCCCTTTTTGGGATGCGGCACGCATTCTACTTCCATTTGTACATTCGCAGTGGCGTTTGAATGCGATGTGGCCTATACAATGCGGGGGCCAGCCGATGTTCAAGTCAGTGTTTTTATCCTCCCAGACAAGTCTGGTACCAATTAACCGACCCCCGGAGGAGCTTGGTTTGTCTCTGACACGCACGACCACGATTCGATCTCCGAGACAAAGCACTCGGTAAAGCTACCACATAGGCCACTACACCACTGCCGCCACAAGAACGCGTATGAAGAAAAATAGGATAAACATGTCAACAGAGTTTACACTGGTCGGCACGAAAAGGAATGTATAGATATCGACACATGAACGAAACATACTGTTTTATTTGTGGCCACTGCCTGAGGTGCAGGAGGATCAGGTGCTCGACCCCCTTGCCGCGTTGCTAGCCTCCTTCAGCAAAGGAGTCTCCTCCATCACTGGTGGCGGAATTGGAGTCTCCATTATTCTCGTTCTGTAAACGGCACTTAACCCTTTCAGCAAATCGAATGAGCTGTTGAGAGACAAAACAAGGAGCAAAAAATATGTCACCTCTTCTTTTGGTGGTGTCGATGACTTGGACAGCGGCTGTGGCGCCAGATCGTTCGTTTTTTCGGATGAAATTGAAGAAGAAGATACGGCAGTGACCGGACGTTGCTCGCTGGCATTCGGCTTGCCGATCACGTTCTCGTCATCGTCGTCGCTTTCAAAGTCATCCTTACAAAGCGGTTTTTCAAATGGTTTATAGATCTAATCCAGCACCTACTTTCAAGTGGACATGACCAAGTTCAGTTTTTGAGTAGAGGTAGCAGGATGTGGGTCTACCTCCAAGCATCTACAACGAAATAGGCGCCCGATAATCGTGAAAGGAGCTAATACTTCGGGTGAAGGCAGGGCGCCGCATGAGAAAGGATCGAGTTCAGAGTTTTGTGTTGGAACAAGTTTTTCTAGACCCGCAAGCCGAATGATTGCAGTACTGAAAGGTTAGGAAGGGTTTTGCTGGCATCGATCATCCTTTTCAAGAATCCGCCACGCACGTTTCTTATGCTCAAAAACAATCAATGAATAAGCCAGCGTTTTAATCTTCACAGAGGTTCGAAGTCGGGACCAATAATTAGACCCCGGAGTAATGGGAGCTGTGGTTGGCCTGTTCGGCGTGCAATCAGGATTCGATCTCCTGACCTTGCCCGGGGTGAACCTAAAGTCAATTCTCCTCATTTGCGCCGCTGACTAATTGCAGAACACAAATAACCATACATAAAACGGGAAACGTCGGAAAAAATGAAAGCTACCGTATAATCTTCGAAGTCGTCCTCATATGTCTCAGCAATTTGCACTACAGGTTCCGGTGTTGGTATCCTCTCTTCTTCCTCCTTTCTTTTTGACTGTTTCTCTTTTAACGGCGATTTAGTGCTCTGAATTTCGAAATCGAATGAATCGAAAAAATGCAAGTAAGGTGAGGGGTACCTTCGGTTTTTTCAGTTCTGAATTGGATTTCACCTTCTCGCCATGGGTCTTCTTTGGTTTTGTCGCGTCCGGCTCTTTCCTGCAAGGTTTCATAGAGTAGTTATGGCAAACATTTGTTACGGCTTGAATTGCGAGAGAATACTTACGTTTTCGACTTAGAGCGGTGCGTTTTCGAGGGGTCATTTGACACTGCCTGAGTTCTCTTCGACAGATTTAGACCTGGGAATGGCACGGAATAAAATGGTACAAAATTTTACTGCAGAGCTCGAAAAAAATACATTGCTATACTTACTTTTTCTTTTTTGGTTCCGGAATTCCTGTTGGTTTATCATTACTGCGAGAATG